ATTTTGTCGTCAAGGAAATCAAGTAAATAATAATTTTTGTATCATTCTCTCGACAATGACATCAAGTAAATAATCATTTTTGAACCATTCTGTCGGCAAAAAAATAACTAAGTAATTATTTTTGTATCATTCTGTCGGCAATGAAATCAAGTAAATAATCATTTTCGTATCATTGTCTTGGCAATGAAATCAACTTTATAATCATTTTCGTATCATTCTGTCGGGAATGACATCAAGTAAATAATCATTTTCGTATCATTATTGTGTTTATGCTCGGAATGAAAAGAGTATTCTTTTACACTATTGTGATGTAATAATAAACTGATTGTGACGTCAGTGGCAAGCGCGCATCGGTATGATAAAATAAAACAAATAACTTGACTTTCCGCGTACGCGTGTGCAACTTTTGAGAGTTCTTTGGATACGCGCTCGCAGACTTAGCGCGCACATTTCTTTTTGTTATTAACCACAATTCCTCGGTTAGCAAACGGTGAGCGTACGGTGAGCAAACGGTGAGCAAACGGTGAGGAACCGAAGTTGGGCGTACGGTGAACGGATCCTCGCCGTTCACCGTACACAGTTCGGTGCGGTTTACGGAGCGGAACCGATGCCAAAACCTTTGAGCGGTAGTGTATGTACGTAAAAGGTCACGTTTTCCTTGCATTTAAATTCTAAATTTGAGAAATCTTCGTTATCCCATCTTGCTTAAAGGGACTGAACATTGTTCAGATGACAGTAAATGCTGCTAAGGTAGTGAGGTCAATGCTAGATGTACAATTAATGATAATCTCAAAGTTAACCCCCCCCCCCCCCCTCCCTCTTGAAATCTCGAATTTCACAGAAATTCCCAGTTCGGCGGAGGAATTTCATCCCAGCTTATTACATGTGTGCAAGGATTGGATTGCCTTTAAACACAGGCCACCAACATGTTTCACACCTGGTACTTCTCATCTTTATCCTCCATATGCTCTTCACTCCATACACTCACTTCTACACAGTCATACATTCTCACAACAACAACAACAAAATCAAAGAAATCTCAACCACGTTCATGTACACCCTTCACTTCAGATTCAATGCACTCAGAAACACACACATCCAGACAACACACATTTAATCAGTCGACCAGAAAAGGAATGGATAGAGCTCGGATCAACAATGAGTTAGCAAATTAGGGAGAGGAAGTACAAGAAAGAAAGATCTTTTTTTTTTAAATGAATGACAAAAATATTTCTAAAGAAATACAAATTCTAGAGCAGTTTGCTATGAAGGTTGCATTTCTCTAATCCAACCAATTGCAGTTTAATTTTTTTTGCAACTCTTTATACTAACCTTGTAAAAATGTGTTAGTTTTTGAGCAGCTTGGCTATTGTTTGCTCTAATAATATCAACTAAGCTTATCTGTTAATCTGTTATATTACATTATCTTTTGTTTTCTGTTAAAGCTAATCTTGAGCTCTGGTATGGGCATTCTATGTGACAGATCATGGCTATAATTCATTCTGCATTGTTAATTCTACAGTAGATTGATTGTTTCAACCAGTAAAATAACAACAACTACACAAAACTTGATGGAAATCATCTTCAATAAAAACCACAGCTCTAATTTGCGTATAGTGACCTGTGTTAAGCACATGGTGTCAGGCCTACAAATGTATTTACCTTGATTTCCTTATCTTTCTACATTCATAACTCAGCCCTTATACATTTCCTACCAAAACCGTTTGGCGCATGTCATTTATTTGTAATCATGAACATTCAGTTTAAGTTTTGTTGGATTGTGTGAGAATTTATTTTCTATAGAACTCAAGCTTATCTTCAAGCAACAAGCCTTTATTTGCTTTCTCTTAAGACAAGGTTGGACTTTGCTTTATCCTGCCACTTGCACTTTGTTTACAATAAAGGTGCTAGTGCAAACAAATTTTTGTGCAATATAAACTTCCAAGGCTTGAAGATAAAGTTGAGTTCTGGTCATGTGATTGCAATTGTGAAAGAAACAGTGTGGAATCAATCAGAAAAGGTTGATCATCTATACATGTAAGTAGTGGTGTGTACTGCAAGGTTCTGGAATCATCAAAATGATAAGTAATTTGGCCCAGTCTTGGTAAAGTAACAAGCACTGTACACAGAAAGATGTATACTACACGAACATGTTGCATAAAAAATCTGTCCCAAATTTTATGATGTTACATGCCATATTTAGAATATTAAGGCATTTGATTTTGAAGAGCCATACTTTTCAGGGAACATTTATTATCTGATGTTATTCCACACTTGCATAATACAATAACGCTCACAAATTATTTTTCACCTCTCCTCAGAATTCAACCTTCTCTTTAAACACATAATCTTGAAATGCAGTGGACTTAACTTTACATCCTGTGTAGGAGGAAATAAAAGAATATAAATTCTGTCGTTTATCCCTGGCACACGTTCCAAGAGATCTGTAAGACTTGGCTTTACAAGTTTACAGTGTACACCCTCAAATTTTCTTTCACATTAACACTTTCTAAGACAAATCACATGTACCTGTACATGGACAAGTACATGTAAATGAATGAGAGGAAATAAAAGAATATATTTTCGGAAGGATTCACACTTTCTATGAAATTGAATTTAAGAGCAAAGCCAAAATTACAAACGTTGGACAGGGTTCCCACCATTTCAAACAAAAGTCCTTGATGTTTCCCCAATGGACTTTCAAATGAAAGAACCATTATTTTAGGCACTAACACACTGGAAGCTCAAGTAGCAATTGTTTCGAGACAGAATAGAGACCCTCTACTTTCTTTTGGGGCATTGAAATTACCTGATTGTCTGATTTTAGTTATTCCTCCCCCCTCCCCATCCCAAGTTCCCTGATTGGAAAAGGAGAACTCTTTTCTCTCTCTCTCTATCTCTCTCTCTCTCTCTCTCATTTCCAGGATAGCTGGAAACCATGGACTATCATTTAGTTTTGCATTGCTGCTTGCAAAAACAATGAACATCTACACCCATCATATAGGAAAAAATCAAATGAGTGACAAGATATACATGTATACTGTACATTTATAGAAACAACTGAAAGTCTTGAAGTCACTACATGTTCTATGATTTTATCATGAGGAACTTTTTCAAACATTGTATCAGGTAGCATGGCAGCTTGAAAAAGTAATTAGTCACTTCTCCTGAATTTTAAGCTGTAATCTCACTAATCTGACACTTCTCCAGAAAAAGAACAATAGAATGTACCTGTAATCCCCTGCAACCATGTAAGTAGGAGATTACAAACACTCTGTTGTTCTTGCACACTTGAAAACAATGGATTCTCAGTCTCAGTGGAGCGTATAGCTAAACTGTGCAATCAAGCACACTACAAATCTGAGATTGCACAAGTGTGACAGCTTTATGCGGTGGTCACAACCCGCCGTACTTGCAAGTGCGTGCTGTCTACGTGCAAAAAGGTGGGCAAAATTTAGGTATCCGTACGTGGTGAGTACTGCCTCCGTACGGATTTGGGAGCACGCAGACACACCTTAGCACTTTTAGTGCACGAGGAACTTTCGCTGCGTTCGGGCTGCGTTCGGGCTACCGATGCACCCCCCAGTGCATGTGACATTGTGTTGCCGGTACTCCCCACTGACCTCTAAACCCTTTGCCACACCTAGCTCCCTATGTTTTCAGAAAAACGTGGCGGCCGTGGCCTCCCCAAAAACCGTACGGACTAAAAACACGCACGGTCGGTTGTGACCAACGCTTTACAGGATATGTATCAGGTAGGCTAACATGTACTCTTTAGGCCCTCTCTCGCGGATAAACACACGTACAAGTACATACATGAACATACAGGCCTGAATTCACAAAGGAGGTTTGTCGACAAACCTACTGTAGGTTTATATGCATCATATGACGCATTTTGATGTGTATGTACGTCTGTCACAAAGACTTCGACATGGTACTGGAATGAAATTAAAGTGATATAAAGCTAGTATAAAACTAAGACTATTTACTAATTGTAAAATAGTTTGTTTTTTCAGACAGCATCTATTCATGAAAAATTGGAGGAAAACAATGAGGTTAAAAATCTAAAAAACAAAAAAATTCAACAATCCTGTTCAAAAGGAAATAGCTAATATCAAAGCCTGTCTGCACTAGTTTGCCCATGGGAGATAAGACCTCCCTGCAAGGTCACTGACAGGTGGTTATCTCATCAAATCAGCTTCTTCTACTTCTACGTCAGTACTTGACAGGATCTATCAGTCAGGATATAACGTCAATTAACATGAGAAAAAGAGGATCATGGGGGACCAACAGGCACTGATTAGGCATTGTTAGCTATATAGAGGGCGCAAGTAGCTTTAAGTAGTGCATTGGGGCTTAGTTTAAAGGGGGATGTAGCATGGCAAATACTGGTAAACACCATCTATGGCTTCTTTTGGACAACTGCACATAAATGAATGGACTTGATTAACGTTCAGCGCAAGCTAGCGTTCGCGAAACAGACCGATGTTCTACACGCACATGAATACTGCGGTTGCGTCATCAGTAGTGATATTAAAACTGATTGGCCCCGAGTCAGGCCATGTGAAAGACTAGAGTCTGTCAGTCTCTCCACCCCCCCCCCCCCCAACAAAACAAAAAAATGCATCCCCCAAATTTCTTGTTATAGGGTCTATAAACAGACCCTAAATTGTATGCAGTCTGTGATGTCTTGGATCTACTTTTAAGTTCTAGACCCTACATAGAAGTCCCTTCTTCGAAAGTGCTTATATCATGCAATGCATATTTCGCAACCACATTTCATTTCAGAGTGCATCGCAAAAATGAGACCATTCACAAGGCCAAGGCAATGCCACCATAGACATGCAAATGCGACCACTCACTGTAATACATCACACACACACACACACAAACAAGGCGATGGCGCGCCGTAGACCTCTGCACATGTCACTCTAACAAGTTACTCAAAGAAATAATCCGATGTCCCACTTATTTATAACGGCTCAATACACAAATTTTACCTTCTTCAACTTCAAGGATCCTATAGGATTCTCTCCGAGAAATCTCCATCGTTGACACCTAAATCTTAAATATTTTTGATCTTGTTTTATGCCAGCAGCGCATATTCTTCTACGTTGATATTCGCCTTTGTCACCTTACTGGCTAAGATCTTTCTAGCTCCCTCTAGCTCTCTCTGCGCTGCTGCGCTGCTAGCTAGCTAGCTAGCTCGAGCTCGAGCTCCGAGTACGGTATGGTGTTTTCAAAAAGGCCAATCATAAACAAATATCACATGTGCCTGTGGTGATCTTCCATCGGCCTCTCTCATAATTATTAGAAGTAAAACTTTTACCCTGTTAAGTGAACCTACATCAGTGGCGGGTCCAAGGGGGGGGGGGGGGGGGCGCCCCTTCATTAGATACAAAAACAGGTAAATACACGTCAATTGTACCATTTTGAAGACGGGGCCCCCTTCCCCTGCTGCTCATTTTTTTTTTTTTTTTTTGGGGGGGGGCAAAAACAAAATTAGTGTATTAGTACCCCCCCCCCAACACTTTTTCAAAGGCTGGCTGTTTCGCCGCTAAATATTTTCTAAATGTTCAAAATGATCAAGGGACAACTCGACATCGACTACCAATCTCACACCAACCCTAAGCCAGACAGACTTAGACGAGGACACTCCAACCAATTTGAAATTCGCCACACCAACTCGGACGTCTATGCCAACTCATATTTCCCAAGGACTGTAAAGACATGGAACAACCTACAACTATGACGGGCGGATCGCGCCATAAAGATGACAACTATACAACTATATACATCCATCGAATGGATGTATGGAGATATGTGTGTATGTGGGGTATTGTGAATGGAAATTGTAAAGGCGTGTTCACTGATCACACAACATAACTCTCTTTTTAATTTAACTACGAGGAAACAAGGTTGCACTGGCAATAAAATACATGATAGAAAGTATTCCCTTTTCGTTATTTTATTGGGTACTGATTTGCAGACACAACACTTGCAAAGTGTAGTCATGCAAGCAAATAAATGATTCAGAATGCAGAATCACATTAATGAGGATCGTGGATATTGCACGGAGTTTAAATGCAGGGCCTGACCTTTACTTTTTTTTTAGGGAGCCAGCCGGGCTCCTCAAGCACTTTTTCAGGGAGCCCGCAGGGGTTTCAGGGAGCCCAAGTTTATCACGTTTTTTTTGTGGTCATAATAATGGTCATTAACTATTAAAAAATTAAAACACACCGTCACGATACCTTTTTTTTAAATCATCAGCGCCGGGACCAGGGAGGGGTGTATTATTAAGTGTAAATGTGACCATGAGGATTAACTGACTGTACTGAAGAATTAATCTTACAACTATTATGAAGCCCTTTGGCTACAGTAACAGTCTAACATTGGACTTTAGGTTTTATCAGAATGAGATATAGTCAATCTTCCTCGCTCCGTCTGTTTCAATATGTTCAGGCAATCATCCATGCAATCTTCATTATTGCTCAACAGATTGAGCAAACGATAATATCATATTCAGAGAGGAAAGTAACTGACAAAAACAACTTTGGAAAAGATGTTTAACCACGAGGAACATAACTTTTCTTTCAGAATCTTCCCAAAATATGATCATTTCATCCTTGCTCTGTTTCAACGCATTTTTCAGTTTCCACTCAAATGGACATTCATCTTTGCTCAACCTATTTCAAAATAATAAGTTCTCACTCAATGAATTTATTAAATTAAAAAAACTTAGCAACATCTTCACCTCATCAAGAATTACACATTTGGAAACTTTTGGTGCAATAATCCAAATCACATCAAAGTTATAAGAAAAGTCTTGTTCTTTTTTTTTTAATGCAACATGTAGACCAAGAGGCAGACATACTAGCTAGTCTCAGCAGAACAGTATCAGCCTTAATTCAAAGTTAGATTCTGACCAAAAAATGTCTATAAAATCTTATTTCAAATATTCAGTCACTTAGTAGTTACACTCCTATTTAAATTGATAAGAGTCAAAACAAGCTGAACTTAAACTAAAAGGTTTATATTGCATTCCTCAGTCAAGTCTTATTGAAGAGGTCACACTTGGATAAAAGGAACTTCAAATCTAGTAGTAGGCATGTCACAGTTGTATTGAAATATTCAATTGCTTTTATTTACTAAGTAACAAGCCTTTTAATTTTGAATAAAACAACAATCAACCCCTTTTTACACACGCCTTTGAAGTTTGTAGTTCGTAAAATTATGTTCAAGCAATAATCAAGTCCATCCAGGTACGCACGCTGAAGAATAAGCACTCACGAACACAAACGCACATGTATCACAAACACGAGTCGACGTAAACATACACTCAGCTCTGGCAACGCAGCGACCATGTGCGTTTGTCTTAGTGTGTACATTCTCTGAGTGCACCGACATACAATGCAGCATGTATTGCGCACCCTTTACGAGTGCGGAGATATAACGTTATCATGCATGGCATTCCTGCACTGATCTCGATGTGTTTTCTTTTGCAACTCATTATTCACGCTGGAGTTGAGCCAAGTGTGCCTTGGAATGCCTAGCGCATATTTCATGATTTTGACTGCGGAATTTGGGTTTTTAGATGGATTAAAACATGGATTAAAGTGCTGGTAAGAAACAGCATTTTTCGTGGCTGATACTAGAAAAACTTAGGGAGCCAGCCGGGCTCCTCAAGCACTTTTTCAGGGAGCCCGCAGGGGTTTCAGGGAGCCAATGGCCACCGGGCTCCCGATAAAGTCGAGCCCTGAAATGGTCATGTATGAGATGGACATGAATAAATGCAGTGAATGAATAGAGCTTACGACAATGGTAGAAATGACGTCGAAAGTCCATGAAGATGATGAGAGATGAAACGAAGAAAGGGGCTCACGCGATGATCGTGCGGAGGCTTGATGATGGAAACGCGACTTCGTTGACGTGGCTGAAGAGCCGAGAAGAACGCGATCGATGTCGATGCCGACGCTCATGATGATGATGAATGTAGCGCTCGGGCGAGAAGAAAAGAGAAGAGATGTGGCGCTCGACGACGAGGCAGTGAGTCGCTCGATGTCGGAGGCCCAGGTTGAAATGTAGACATCAAAGCCGGTATAGTGGTGATCGTGAAGAGCAGTGAGTCGCTCGATGCTGGATCGATGAGCCGGACTTTGAAGTGAAACCATCAGAGTTGCAGTGAGATGGACTCATTGATGAAAGTTCAGGCGAGCTACAGTGAATCGAGCTCTTGTGTGAAAAGAGCTACCGAAGCGAAAAAGCTAGCAGCTCCCAGTGGAGAATCAGGAGCCATGTCGGTTCCTGATTTAAGCGTCCCACTGCAAGACTGCCAGTCCTTTGAAGACGGCAGGATAAAGAGTTTATGTGCCATACAAGAGGTGATAGGCACGGAAGAGAATTCTCCAAATGAAATGTAGGAGGTTAGAATTGAAGATGGATTTGCTCCTTGTGTATGCATGAAGCAAATTGTGGTAGAGGTGACATTCTCATATTGACGTGTTACTTCATCGAAGAACTATGAGAAGTGTGGTGGTGAAGAAAGTTAGAGAGTATGATGTTGTTTTCATCCTTCTTGGGGGCAGGATAAAACAAAGAGGGTACTATATACCAATTCTGGGAAGGGAGAGTGAGTCACTGATGATTACCAGGTACAGGGACATTGAAGCCATTATGCTGACACTTGTTGATAAATATATAGGGGCAGTGCCTGGCATAATGTCAGAGGGCAATGTCCTCCCAAATTGGGTTTGCAAAGTAACAAATGAAATTGAGAAATGAAGAAAGATGAAATGAGGAAAATACTACATCAGCCCCCTCCTAGAACGTTGAATAGAAGGAAACGGGCGATAATAGAGAAAAAGTAATATTCCGAATGAAAATATATGAGAAAGTCTCATTTGAAATGCCAAACTTGAACATAGCGATCTGAGAAATGTACTGTTCTCCCTGAACGAGTTACAAGCATGGTATGTGAAAGGCTTTCAGTAGTAATGAATAGAACAGTAATACATGACATGATATGCATCGAATAAACGTGTATAAATGCAAGAGCATAAAACATTCGAAACAAAATCCAGAATGTATACATTTGAAGAAAGACAAAAATGAAATTGTTAAGTCCAAAAAGTCAGGGAATAATAAAATTGTACAACCAAGCTTCCAAGTAAACGACAGGGTCACCAATATGGAGATATTATTGGTGAATGTACTACATCATGACATAAAATGGTAAATGGACATTATTGAATGAAATGTAATGACATAATAAAAGCTTACGACTGATAGAAAATGACGTCGAAAGTCCATGAAGATGATGAGAGATGAAACGAAGAAAGGGGCTCACGCGATGATCGTGCGGAGGCTTGATGATGGAAACGCGACTTCGTTGACGTGGCTGAAGAGCCGAGAAGAACGCGATCGATGTCGATGCCGACGCTCATGATGATGATGAATGTAGCGCTCGGGCGAGAAGAAAAGAGAAGAGATGTGGCGCTCGACGACGAGGCAGTGAGTCGCTCGATGTCGGAGGCCCAGGTTGAAATGTAGACATCAAAGCCGGTATAGTGGTGATCGTGAAGAGCAGTGAGTCGCTCGATGCTGGATCGATGAGCCGGACTTTGAAGTGAAACCATCAGAGTTGCAGTGAGATGGACTCATTGATGAAAGTTCAGGCGAGCTACAGTGAATCGAGCTCTTGTGTGAAAAGAGCTACCGAAGCGAAAAAGCTAGCAGCTCCCAGTGGAGAATCAGGAGCCATGTCGGTTCCTGATTTAAGCGTCCCACTGCAAGACTGCCAGTCCTTTGAAGACGGCAGGATAAAGAGTTTATGTGCCATACAAGAGGTGATAGGCACGGAAGAGAATTCTCCAAATGAAATGTAGGAGGTTAGAATTGAAGATGGATTTGCTCCTTGTGTATGCATGAAGCAAATTGTGGTAGAGGTGACATTCTCATATTGACGTGTTACTTCATCGAAGAACTATGAGAAGTGTGGTGGTGAAGAAAGTTAGAGAGTATGATGTTGTTTTCATCCTTCTTGGGGGGCAGGATAAAACAAAGAGGGTACTATATACCAATTCTGGGAAGGGAGAGTGAGTCACTGATGATTACCAGGTACAGGGACATTGAAGCCATTATGCTGACACTTGTTGATAAATATATAGGGGCAGTGCCTGGCATAATGTCAGAGGGCAATGTCCTCCCAAATTGGGTTTGCAAAGTAACAAATGAAATTGAGAAATGAAGAAAGATGAAATGAGGAAAATACTACAGATGTAAGGTTTTAACCATCAGAACGCAGGAAACTGTACAACTATACAACTATACAACTATACGACTATGCAACCACACAGCTATAGAACGTATGTACGGTTGTTACGTTTGCGGGCCGAAATGCCATAATTGCAAACAACCATACATCCATTCAGCTTTATGGTTGTACGGTTTCAACCAATCACAATGCAGGAAACTATACAGCCATGGCGGCGAGAATGTCTGTATAGTTTTATGGCTGTACGGTTTTATCCAATCACAATGCAGCTAGGAAACTATACAGCCATGGCGGCGAGAATGTCTGTATAGTTTTATGGCTGTACGGTTTTATCCAATCACAATGCAGGAAACTATACAGCCATGGCGGTGAGAATGTCTGTATAGTTATATGGCTGTACGGTTTTAACCAACCATAATTCTAATGCAGGAAACTATACAGCCATGGCGGTGAGAATGTCTGAATTTAGCCGACACTTATGCCTTTAAAGCCATTGAATGCTGAACATAGCAAAGCAATGATGGAATAAATAAAAATAAAAATTGATCTTATAGGCCTAGATCTAGGTCTACTAGTACTAAATAATATTGGATCTAGTGGTAGATTTACTAGTAGTCGACCAGAACTAGATCTAGACTAGGTGATAGCTAGGTCTAGTACTAGATCTAGTACTAGGCCTATATCTAGTGCTTAATTAGTACTGCTACTAGGTCTACTAGGTCTAGCCTAGTACTATTCTATTTAATTTAGTGGACTATTACTATACATAGACCTAGACCTACTAGTAAATAGTAGATCTAGACTATTATTAGACTAGACCTAGATCTACTCTAGTAGACTAGATCTAGGTCTATTATAGAAATATTAGTAGACTATAGGCCTATATTTACTCCTATTTAGATCTACTAATACTAGACTAGGTCTAGATCTAGATCTAATTTCCTAAATCACCAACTGTAGATCTAGACCTAGGTCTATTTAGATCTAGTCTAGGGTATAGGGTCTAGATCTCTCTCTAAGCAACAGACCCATCGGCAAATGTATATATAGACTACAACATGATTATTCCTAATGACGTGGAGGACCTAGATCTATACATTGTTATCAACTGCACGAATAAATTAAATTAATTAATTTGTACCTTTCCTAACCGAACATTAAACTTTGATGGACATTTGCAGTTGGACCTGGATGAATTTATATGAATGGGACTGAAATGCATGAACTGGTGCAATTCGCTCATCTTTTTCCAAGTTGGGGAGTAATATTTGTATGTTTATTTAGAATATCGTTCGGTTAAACAACAAATTCTTTGCCTTAATTGCATAAGTTTAGCGATGCATGGCTAGTCTATATAATTTCCTGCATTGTGATCAAAACCGTATAGCCATAAAACTATACAGACATTCTCGCCGCCATGGCTGTATAGTTTCCTGCATTGTGATTGGTTAAAACCGTACAACCATAAAGCTGAATGGATGTAGGCCTATGGTTGTTTGCAATTATGGCATTTCGGCCCGCAAACGTAACAACCTTACACGTTCTATAGCTGTATGGTTGCATAGTCGTATAGTTGTATAGTTGTATAGTTGTACAGTTTCCTGCGTTCTGATTGGTTAAAACCCTACATCCATTCGATGGATGTATAGTTGTATAGTTGTCATCTTTATGGCGCGATCCGCCCGTCATATACAACAAGCAACCATCGACCAAACCTCCCCGCTCTCATTTAAAAATGCAGTTACTAAAGAACTTTTTTCCAAAATGTAATCGTCCACCCTCCCCCACCTCCAGTCAAAACTCTTCTTCGGAGTATTTAGGAGGAAAATAATCCAAGATCCAAGATCCAAGATCCAAGATCCAAGATCCACGAATTGGGCCCCCTCTTTCGCGCCCTCCCCCGCCGCCGGCTATATCTGCCCCTGTCGACCTGCATAGGTCCAAACAATTAACCTAGATGAAAATTGTGTCATGGGCTTTTTCATTCTTTTAATGATAATGTAGATGAATAGTCATAGAAAAATGTCTGGGTCTGAAAAGAGTGGGCCTCAATCAAATATAAATGCAATGTAGTTGAAGTAAAGAGAGATATTAGCTCCAATTTTTGCATTGACTAATTAATTTTTTGGTGTCCCGTCATGGTCCAATTAAGGTAAAAGTCACATGACCGCAATGCAAATGGCGAAATGATAAGTCTTCCTACGGGGGGGGGGGGGGGGGGGCATGCATGCTAGTGTCACTTATCAGGGGCGGATCCACGTAGCGATTTTTAAGGCCGGGACCCCCCCCCCCCCCAGCCCCCCAAAACGATAAAAAAATATGAAAATAACGAAATGTTAACCTTTATAAAACAAAAAACAACCCCCCCCCCCCCCGCTTTTTCGCCGGCCGGCTGAGACGGCACTAAATTCTGTATTAAGATTTGGCTACCCCCCCCCCCCTTGACGCCAGCTGGATCCTCTGCAGACGTGGATCCACGGGGGGGGGGGGGGGGGCTGATGGGTCAACAACAACAAAAAAAGAATTAAAAAAAAAAAATCTCACGAATTAGATCCAAAAAAAAATTGTGGTCTCACCCACCCCCCCCCCCCCTTATTCACCGGTTGACTGAGTCGGCGCAAAATATTTCCTGAAAAATTGGACAACAAAAAAGTGCCTCCTACCCCCCCCCCCCCCCCGCTTATTCACCGACGGCTGAGTCGCGACTAATATTTTCTCACGGATTGGGCCCCCCTCTTCCCGCCGGCTGGATTCGCCACTGTCACTTATTGCATAAGTGTGTCGCTATTTACATTGGAAATGTTCCAATTCCGTAATCGCTCAGCCCATCAACATTTTGGCTCATTACGGCACTGACTTGTTCTATAAGTTGAAGTGCCAATTTTTTATAATGGAAAGTAGATATTCGAGCGAGGAGCGTACGTCAGCCCCCTGGAAAAAAAGGCCCATATATACGCCCGGCCCCCCCCCCCCCCCCCCCCCACTCAGGGGTCGGAATGACCGCATGCGTGTTGCCAAAATGTCCGGTAAAGGGGTACTTTTCGTGCAACAAAGTCCGGCCCGAGAATTGTAAAAAAAGGGGTGTATTTGACTTTTCACCTGGAGATTTCTTTAAAAAGGGGGTGTTTTTCCTTTTTTTCTCTCATCATCTTTGGAGTCCTGAGAAGTTATTCCGAATGTATGGGGTACATTGAGCATTTTTCCTGATTAAGAAAAGAGAAGAGGCCGATAGATCATAGGAAACAAAAAGAAATACATAAACGGAAGAGAAAAGGATATGGATTAAAGGAAAAACAAATAAATGTAACGGAGAAAAGGATATATAGATTTAAGCTAATAAAACAAAGAAATACTGTAAATACATGACGGAATTTTTAGAGGATAGATTGAAGGAGAAAAAAAGAAAAGCATAACGAAGATGAGGATATACAAGGACAACGAAAGAAAAGAGGAAAATATAGATTGAAGGAAATAAATAACGAAAGAGAAGACCGTGGGATGGATTTATAAGGGAAACACAAAGAAAGTACATAACGAAAGACAAAAGGATAGATTGAAGGAGAAACAAAGGGATACAAAACAAAGAGATACATAACGAAAGGCTTGATGGCTCTCATTCCTCTCATCAAACAAGCGAGTTTTAGCACAGCAAAGGACGACGCAGGAGCACATGTACCATACCATCGCACACAGATATCCTTTACCTAGACCGCGAGATTTCAATTCATCACCGCTTGGGATCCGGAATCTCCTTCAGCTTCTCCAACATGGAAAATTTACATCAAGTGCAAGATTCAATTCTGGCAGCCTATGCTTTCGACATTATAGATGATATAGAGTTCTTGCTTCTCAGTGAGATTAACTCATCTAGCAACCAAGACTTCGAACATGATGATGGTCACTTTGACTTGGACAATTTCAACGATGATGAGTGTACGAGCTATTACAGGTAAGGCAGAGTAAATCTAGTTCTAACTCCGGGGAACACCGCCGCCTAAGGCGTCGGCGGCGGAGCTCCCTGGAGTTATGGTAGCATTATTGGGTGAGGTCGATCTCGACACGCGTACACGTCGCGTCGGCTCCTCTCTTTAGATGCCGACCCTACCCAAACTAAGAGGCTAAACGAACGAAAGAGACAGACATTTTCTGTCTATAGAAGTATAGTATTAGTAGCAGTAGTGTTTTGTTGTAAATTCGTTATTCTTTACCCAGGCCAGGTGTTGAACTAAATTGAACTTTGAGTTGACTTCAGAAATGGGCGCTGGTGTAGCATGTAGTTCCGTATCCATTTTTTTAGCAGTTTCATATTCATTCTTAGCAAAGGAATTTTAGCCCAATATTTTACTAATTTTAATCATAATCATATATTGCATTTTCCTCCTGAATTTGGATCACATCCGACATCGGGAAGCCTCCGTTTAGGGCTTCGACACGCGAAGCTTGCATAATTTTAGACTGATAGCTTCAGTTTGAGTTGCAAAGCTATAGCACGGAGACGGTACTGACCAAATTCAGGTGGAAAATGCAATATATGATTATGATTAAAATTAGTAAAAAATTGGGCTAAAATTCCTTTGCCAAGAATCGATATTAAACTGCTAAAAAAAACTGCTAAAAAAAAATGGATACGGAACTACACTAGCGCCCAGAACTGTACACAAATAATCAGATAATGAAAGATTTCTTATTTTCTTTCAATATTTCTGGTATCGAACATTGTGAGATACATAACTTACAGTACGTATCAACATATTGAAGTAGCAACAAGGGCCAGGGCAAAGTTAGACCAAAGTTTCTGTCTCTTTCGTTCTTTAGCCTCTGATTTAATTGGGCAGGGTCGGCTCCTCTCTTTAGAGACAGAAACCGACCATAGGCGTTCGCACGGTTCGTGTTCAAACATTTTGCAAAATTATGGCCATTTATGGCCTTATTCTTTGCCCAAAATACTATCTTTTACCTGATGCATATCCGATGCATTTCATTTTGTAAATTAGGCCTATATAGGCTATTAAACATCGATTGGTTCCACTTACCAACTTGACTGAATAAATCCGTTTAATGGTCCCTTTTCAGGAAATTATGGGTCAAAATCGACATCCATGTTGAAAATCTTGCAGCCGTCTTTTAAACTCATGACGTCATCAAAATCTCATCCCTTCTAGTCTACGCGCAAGGCAAAATGATTGTGAAGGAAAAACTGTTCACGAGCTACAAGTTCGTAATGACGTTATCACATGAGCATCACTTATTATTGAAAAAAAGGAAGAAAGTAGTACAGTATCTTTAAGAGTATATATTTTCAAGTCGGCTCTGGTCAGGTCTGCCTGGACACTTTGGCCTGACCGCGGTTCAGGGAGGCCAATTTTGGAAACGTTTGTCAAATCTACCTAGTCACTTTGCATTATTTATTTTTTTGCTATTCGCACCGCTGTTAATTTGTCAAACACTTAATTTTAAGAAAAATGTAAATTCAAACTGAATAATATTCTGGTTGATTTCTTGTTTTTGTACATTTCAACAGATTCAAGAAAGATGAAATATATCGGCTCAAACATGCTTTAGGCATTCCAGACAGAATCACCTTGCCAAACAGGTCAAGAATGGATGGATTGAAGGCTCTCTGCATAGGTCTGCAACGTTATGCCAATCCATGCCGATATGGAGATTTAGTTAAGGTCTACAGACATCCAGTGCCCCTGCTCTGTTTAGCCTTCAACTGGATGACTAAATTCATCTATGATACCCACAAGCACAGACTGACAACATTGGATCAGCCTTGGTTGGCCCCTCAGCAGCTGAGAATTTACGCTGATGTCATTCACCAGAAAGGGGCACCACTAAAAAACTGTTGGGGATTCGTGGATGTGACCGTTCGGGCGATTTGCAAACCTGGGGAACAACAACAACAACAACAACAACAACAGGGGGTTGACATTGACCACAAGCCTGAACATCTGCTCAAGTACCAGTCTGTCACTACTCCAAATGGCATGATAGCCAACCTTTACGGACCTGTGGAAGGGCGACGACATGACTCCTACCTTCTACGGGAGTCAGGTCTTCTAACCATACTCGAAGGCGGGTCCCATGATGCAGAGGGTAACGTGTTGTGCATCTACGGGGACCCTCGTTATCCCGTCAGACCCCAGCTGCAGGCCCCATTTCCTACTGCAAACATCACACCGGACCAGGCAGCATTCAACGAAGTTATGTCCAAAGTCAAGATTACTGCGGAGTGGTCCTTTGGGGGCATAGTCAACTTCTTCAAGTTGTCCGATTTTAAGAAGAGCCAGGAGATCCATGAAAGTTCTTGTGCAAAGATGTACATGGTGTCAGGCATTCTGACAAATGCCCATACATGTATTTATGGGAACAATACACCCTCCTACTTTCAACTGAAGCCTCCATCACTGGATGAGTATTTTCAATAACTTTGATCGAAACTATTTCTGTTATAACCTCATTCAATAACTTTGATCGAAACTATTTCTGTTATGAACTCATTCAATCTCTTTCTTTCTTGTTGTTGATGGGAATCAAATTTTTGCTTTAAATACAGTACTATTTTCTTTGCTTTTAATATTAAGTGATGCTCATAAATATTTTGCCCTGGTTAGCTACTTCCATATGTTCAAGTACTGTAAGTAATGTATCTCATAAATGTTCAATACTGTACCAGAAATGTTGGAAGAAATCTTTCATTGTTCTCAAATTCCTTTTTTTTTAAAAATAGGATCCCCACAGTAATGATGATTCAGTTTATGATGTAGGTCTGTGTATTGCTTACAGAACATTAAATAAACTGTAATCTCCTCTTTGTAACCTATATTTAATTGTTCCATGTCACTGGCTGTGTTTGCGACAACTAATTTTCTTTGATGTCCAGTCAGTATTATTTGATAGGATTTGACAAGCAAGCATTACTGTTACCATTGTATTTTGGCAAGTGAAAATATAAAATTTACAAGTAAGAAAACTTGATTCTCAAATGAGAAGACATTTTTTTCCAGGAAGGGATAAACCAATAGACTAAGGCAAGGTAACTTATTTGAATTATTAACCAAAACGAACAGAATTTTCCATAAAAAGTATTTCTTTTAACAATAAAAAAGACAGTGTGGAGCACTCAAGCTGTGAATTGGTCATTGCTGTGTCAATCAGATACAGATCATACAAGCAAAAACTGCAAACTGATCATCTTATCTGCCACTGGTCATGAGAAATATGCACTGGATGTTATTGTCGAGTACAACTACTAAACAAAACCTTCCTATATGATATATCAGGGTGGGAAAAAGAAAGGAAATATAAAGGTACAGGACTGGCAATGACTTTGTAACCAGAACCTTATACAAACTTTTTCCAATACCAGTAGAGAACTTTGCATTTTCTTTCATTAGGCCCCCCCCCCCCCCCCACTCCAATACAAAAAAAAATGGTTGTCCTCAACCGCTCGCTCGTCATTTTCGGGCAGTCATATTTATTTTTTTCTTTCTTCAATTTAATTTTTTTTTTTTTTTGGGGGGGGGGGGGGGGCAATTTTAAATGCCTAACATACCATTTTATGCATTTTGCAAGGATCAAAATGCGTCCCGTTGCCAGTTTGGTCTTTTCAGTAATTAACTTGCCATTTTTAATTTTCTATGTCAAATCAGGTTCTGAGCATTCTTAAAGCCAAAAAATAGTTTGTGTTGTTCTTGATATGTATTGTACATATGTTAAAAAAGATGATAATGATATTAAACTATTCTTTTACCATATTGAAGTGTTTTATTGACTTTGTTTAAATCTTTGACATCCCAATGACAGAAAGACAAACAAAAAAAAAACAAAAAATATGTCCACCCACCCCCAAGGACAACCAAATGCTTTTATATTTTGTCTAACACAGATGGACGTTTTCTTGACTTAATCCCCCCCCCCCCCCACTCCGTGAACGGAGGGATACCATGCGTGTTACCAAAATGTCCGGTAAAGGGGTACTTTTCATGCACCAAAGTCCGGCTCGTAGTACACAAAAATCTGGCCCGTATTGACTTGGCACACCGGACTTAGGGGGTGTTTTCAAAAGGAGGGAACATGCATATGCGTACCCTAGATAACACTGAGTGGGGAGGGGGGGGGGCCAGGGAGGTAATAGGATTTTTTTTTTCCTTTGTGTTCATGTATCGTATAAACTATAAATGTGTGCATTTATCACTTTGTGCCAGATTTTGTATATAAACCAGTCTAAATGTAAGCTATATTTCTTGTATTGTTAGAGGGTATCATCAAAATCATTTAAGTTTGTATGTCATTTGATGAGTTTCATCTATGGAAAAAAACCCAACTATAAGTGTTGATATTGTAAATATGTTTATTTTAACTGAAATTAATGGCTACAAAAATCCATTTTCTTTTACTAAAAAAAGAACAGAACTGGAAGGTGATAGAATGTGTTGTGGAGTGTGTAACTGCATTTATTTACAGTTCTGTAAGGGTGTTTGTGCTATCCATTTCTGATACGAAAATGATGTGTTGGCCTTTTGGGTAGTTTACTGTGAATGCTCCTGCATGATTCGGTACTTGTATGTGTCAATGTGTATGTTTGTATGTGAAGCAGTACTGTATGTTTTGTAATAATCAGATTAAAATACAGGGTGTATGGGTCATAACTTTGTGTCCATACAAAAATTAAACTCACACACACACACACACACACACAACCACACACATAAACCAAGGATGGATGTTATTGAAAACTAATAGCTTACCAACACCACAAATGCACAATATTTCAAAGTTCAAAATGTGCACATATCATTTTCAAATCCAAAGGGATGGGCAGAGACTAGTCATCCCATTCTTACTCCCCAACACACACACACACCACAGTACCACATTACTCATACTCTTAACATTATTAAGCATAAATGCCACGATCAAGGTACAAACATGATCATTTTTGAAAGAAAAATTAGCCCCCTTTGGTGGGATGACCACACCCCCCCCCCCCTCGCCTTCAAGATTTTCAAGCTTCACTACACTAGCTTGGACTGCTGGAACTAACCAGTTTGAATTTAGAACATTTCTTTATCTGCATCGTAAGTTCAAACAAGTTAAGCTTTCTTGAAAACATAGAAACACCTGTGATAAAAAAAAAATTAAAATACTTTTGAATTTTTATTTTCTCAACACAAAATATTGGATCATGAAAAGTATGACCAATAAAATGAACATATATATCTATGTACATATATACATAATACAGAAAAAGAACACAACTACATAAAATGCTATTTTCTTTGCATTATCAGCTTGGTATGATTTACCTGTATCACTTAAGGTGCTGAATACTGCATTAAAAGGTCACATTATAAAGAAAGGGTAACCAACAATAAGTAGACGAAAACTAAATGTGTAATACTACCGGTAATTGTACTAATAGTATCTATTCTACAATCTATTTCACCCTGCCTCGCCTATTTCAATAGAACTTATGTGAAAGATTTGTTATCAAAATACAGAGTGTAAAAACATTGTCTTGGCACTATTAGCTTTATTAACCTGTGTTAGGGTCGGTACTAAATACATCAATGAGTAGAAAATATGAAGTAATAATAAAACTACAGTACAGTGCAATACAAGAATCCACTCTACCCTATATCACCTACTGTAAATGCGGAAATGTTCGCAGTACAGTGTACATTAATTTTCACAGATTTTGCGCTAAAGTCGGCGTCCATGAATTCTAGAACCCGCAAAAATATAAACATGACTTCTTATGCGTGTTCTGAACGGGTGAATTTGGTGCAACACGAATTTAAGAACCAGCGAATATGTGTTTGGGTCACTCAGTGGGGAAAATTAATCGCGCGAAAATAACAGCGCTTACAGTATTTCATTTCAATGAAATTACCGATGAAGTGAGATACATGAAATAAGCTGAAAACCTGAAACTTTCAATCACTTACAACTTACATTATGAAAACGCATGTACAATATAACCACCAAAGATCTATTGAAGAATTTGAAGTACCTGCACAAAGAATATTATTTAGTATTGATCCTGAGATGATTTCTGTAATTGCTAGTTTACTTGGATCTTTAATGCACAAGGGACTTATAACTTATATAATAATAATATTTAAACTGCTAGCTCTCTAGTGATGCATACTTTCAAAAATGTGATTTTCTTTGCATAGCTACTTTAACAAAACTATGTTAACAAGTTACTCTGAAGGCTAAACATGTACAAGTAATAAACCACAGATTAATTAACAACTATACAATGGATTTATAAAAGTTCTTACAAATCATCCAGCTAGCAAAGTCACTGGAATAACAAACTGGAAATTCTTACACTTTTGGACAATGGGGTAAAAAGTTGGAACAATGCAGATGAAACGTACACACACAAAAAAGCATTCAAATTTCTAGTCTATTATTTGCACAGAAACAAATGAAGTTAAAACTACATATGAAAATAATGAAGTTGAACAACAAACTTGCCTCCACACCTTCATAAAATTAACACAAGTTGGCATTGTGACAACATAACATGTGTACAACACAAGTAAGCATGGTCAAAGTCACATACTACAGACTAAGGGGCAATCCCGGCCCCCCACCCAGGGAGCGGAGGGACTGCATGCGTGTTCCCAAAATCTCTGGCTCGTAACCAAAGAAAAAAGTCTACCCGCATTGACTTTGTACACACCGGACTTATGCTAAAAAGGGGTGGGGGGGGGGGGGGTCAGTGCTAAAAAGGCTCGTATAACAAAAGAAAAGATCGGTCTACCCGTATTAACTTTACACACCAGAGGTATGCTGAAAGGGGGGGGGGGGGGGGGGGAGTGCTGGGAACATGCATATGCGTACCCTAAATAACACTGAGTGGGGGGGGGGGGGGGGGGGGGTGGCAATATCTTGCTTTCATATATTATGGTATCCAGATTTGCAGTTGAATGAAAGGAATATAGCATGGGCAATGGTATTGGTACACAGAAAAAATGTGATAGTATAGCACCAACTATAAAGAAAGCTAAGGAGGAAAAAGGAAGTCATACACATTAAAAAGGCAAGTTATAGTTAAATTACATAATGTACAAGTTAACACAATGTTTCTACCCGGTATGTATCTTTGCCCTTTAGGTGCCAAAACATGGGTCGGTTGGTTGGAAATCTTTTGGGTTCCTCCCTCTTTGGGCTGATATTTCTCAGTTTGGAATGTTATAATACATTTTTTTCTTTCTTAAAAACAGTATAAAAAAAAAGAAGAAGCTTTTTTAAAAAGCCGACCGTGGATCTCAAGATTTTTGGTCAGTCGCAAATGGCTATACATCTTCTTTTAACACCTAATGGCAGAGGGGTAGCTCTTAGGAAGACCACAGGAATATTCATTAGTGTGTCATATAGTGAGTAAACTTGATTTGATCTCTAAGATCACCCTAGACTAGAAAGAGAGGGGCCTGTGTACTTTGCCTCGGTACGCATATTCAAAATCCACAGACTAAATAGCTTAAATTGAGAGAGTTGTTATGCTGAATCTGGATTCTTAATGGAAATGTAGGTCATTGATTGTATGTTTTATTAAACATATCTTTTCGGTTAGAAATATACAGGTTGCAGAAGGACTAAATTATTCATTTAGGCAGAAGAATATTAAGAGGGCCTGAAATGCGCTATATAAGGACAAACTATTATTATTTATTGTAATTATTAGGCAGTTTGGGAAGAAACTTTCCTGTGTCAACATAAACTAAGTATAGGTCCTTGTTCAACTAACTCAGTGAGAGGAGATTGACAAGTTAAAAAATAATTACACTATTTTAAAATTTCCAAGAGTTATTGAGGATTTCTCCAATTAATCAATTATTTCAACAAAACATCACAAGCATAATTTTGTGTGAAAAATTGTTCAAACCAATACTTTTTAAGACAGCACCTTCTTGCGTTTTAATGGCTCTTTTTTAATGATAACAGGCTTTTTAGTTACTTAATCGTTTTTAATTTTCTAAACTTTTTGAGCATGTTAAGTTATAACTAATAGTTTGTAATGTTATAGTGCAGGTTTTGGTATCTAAAGCTCAGACTTACCAAAACTATCAAAGTCAATAATTTAAAAGAAGTGTATCCTGACGAGACTATGTGTCTTTACCATGGCCTGACTCAGGGCTAATCTTATGTAATAGGACTACGGACGAGACGAGCCCGCAGCAATAATGTACATGCAACATATGCGAAACTGAAGCATGAGGAGAACCTTGGTCTGTTTCGCGAATGCTGACTATGTAGAGATGAAGTCGCTGACTGCCGTTAATCAAGTCCATTCATTTACGTGCAGATGTCCAAAAGAAGACGTAAATGGCGTTAACAAGTATTTGCCAAGCTACACTCCCTTTAACAAGAATGTTAACAAGTTTTGCAGGCATCAAAATAACACTATATAGCTGAAAAGACAGATTGGTTATAAATTATGACAAAGTAAAATGTCAGCAACAGTTCACTGTTTATCATTCAAACTTATTCTAGTAGACATGAATGATGAAAATAAGATATCATTCATTGTTCTTTAATTATTTTCTAAAGAATTTATGAGGGCCATCATCATGGATTGCATCTGTTGATTATGTTGCTGCATTAGTTGTTGTTGCTGAAGGGATTGTTGCTGTTGCTGTACCATCTGTTGCTGCACAATCTCAAAGCGACGCTCTCGGATTGTTTTTTCAGCTTGCCTTTTCTCCTCATCTGCTCGCCGTCTCTCTTCTTCTTCTCGTCTCCTCTCCATCTCTTCAGCTCGCTGTCTCTCCTCTTCTTCTCTCCTCCACTCCATCTCTTCCCTCTTTGTCTCCTGCTCCAACTCCATCTTTTTTTCCATAAATGCAAGTGTTTCTCGCCCTCTGTTTCTCGTTTGTGGAAGGGTGCTGGTGCCGCCTTCACCTTGGTGTCTAAAATGCAAAATTTAAAAAAAGAGAAAAAGGAAGTGTCAAGTGTCAACCATGTGAGATATTCAAAAGCCTGCATGATGTGGTGCTGGTACTGCATTCACTTTGGTATCTAAAATGAAATATAAAACATAAAAGAAAAAGGAATTTTAAAGTCAATCTACATGTTGGACAAGAACACTACTGAATGTTGGTTTACATGTTACTAAAAATTTATCAAAGGGATAATGGAGTTCTGTTTTTTTGTGAGATAATGAAAAACTAAGTGTCGAATTCGAGCATACAATTTTAATGACAGAATAAACTGTATTGTGGGGTTCCACAATCATTCAATAATTTTGAACCAGCCAGTTTCTAAATAGTATAGATATATTGACTGCTATGAGAGGCATCACCGTTTCTTTAGGCTCAAGGGGACGTTACATCCGGTGATATGACGTCCGACGAGAGCCAGTGTAGAAACAGCTATGCTTCTAATATTAAAGCAGTCGATATATCTTGGCTAACTCATAAAAAAATCTACAAAGAATTTAACCTTAGCTTTTCTTGAGTAAAGATTGACTGGTTAAAACATCACAGAAAATCTGAGACACTGTGTGTAAATTTTCGCTGGAAAGTTGCCTGAATGTTTCGATCATTCGGGAATCGCAGACAAAAAGCACTGTTTGGTATCTGTGCTCGCACAAAGAAACTTTTTACACGTAAAGTCGTAAACCAATGAGCATCTGAGCACAATCGATTTAGCAGCCTGTTACCCGGGGCAACGGGCTTCTTTAAAAAAAAACTATTGACCGGTAGGCGGACATGCGGGCATCTTTTTAAAAACTATTGACCCGTAGGCGGGCATGGCTAAAATCATGACTCCAATTTCGACTAATCAGATGGCTGGTTTTCTACAGAGGTACATGTATATAGATGTCGATAATCTCTCTATCTTATCACTATTTCAACAAAACATGAAATGTACAATATTTTATTTGAAATGGTTGAAACCGATGGAAGTTTAGGCAGTGCCCTCTCGAGCTTGAACAGCTTTTTACTTAGTCATTTGTAATTTTGTTTTCCTCTCCCTTTCGAGCATGTTGAGTTATAACTACATAAATATTAGTTTGTAATGTTATAGTGCAGGTTTTGGTTTTGGCTCAGACTTACCCAAACTGTCAAAGTCAATATTTTAACAAGAATGTTAACAATTCCTGCAGGCATAAAAAAGTATTATATACCTCTCTTCAGAAATCTAGCCATCTGATTGGTCGAAATTGCAGACAGAATTTTAGCCAATCCTCTCATACCCGCTTACCAGTCAATAGTCTTTTGAAAAGTGCCTTCATACCTGCCTACCAGTCAATACCATAGTCTTTTTAAAGATGACCATTGCCCCGGGTAACAGGCCACATAAATCAAGTGTGCTCAGATCCCCATTAGTTTTCGTGTTAACATTTTCTTCGTGCGAGCGCGGACACCATACATACAGTGCTTTTTGTCTGCGATTCCCAAATGATTGAAACTTTCAGTCATATTTCCAGTAAATGTTTAAACCAATTTTTACTCAAAAAGGATAAGGTAAAAATTGTTGGTAGTTTTTTGTTTCAATTCGGCATATAAAAGACATATCGACTGCCTTAATATTCGAGGTCTGGCCATTTTATAAATAGGCTCTCTGGAACTTGCACATCTTGCCATGACCCAGAGGCGTGCCTGGGTGCGCACGTTCCCTTGAGCCTATAAAACAGCCAGGCCTCTAAAAACAGTCAATATCTCTATACTTTAAAGCTGAAAAGACAGATTGTTTATAAATAATGACAAAGTAAAATGTCAGTTCCCTGATGATCGTTCAAACTTATTCCAGTAGACATGAATAATGAAAAAAAAATATAATAACATTTATTGTTCTTTACTTTTTTTCTAAAGATTTAATGAGGGTCGTCATCATGGATTGCATCTGTTGATTATGTTGCTGCATTAGTTTTTGTTGCTGAAGGGATTGTTGCTTTTGCTGCAGCATCTGTTGTTGCACAATCTCAAAACGTCGCTCTCGGATTGCTTCCTCAGCCCGCCTTTTCTCCTCATCTGCTCGCCGTCTCTCTTCTTCTTCTCGTCTCCTCTCCAACTCTTCAGCTCGCTGTCTCTCCTCTTCCTCTCTCCTCCTCTCCAACTCTTTTCTCTTCATCGCCTGGTCCAACTCCATCTTTCTGTCCAGAAATGCAAGAGTATCTCGCCCTCTGTTTCTTTGTGGAGTAGTGCTGGTGCCCAATTCACCTAGGTGTCTAAAATGCAATATTTAAAAAAAGGAGAAAAAGGAAGTATCAACTGTCGATCATGTGAGATACAGTAAGGTATTTAAAAGCCTGTATGGTGTGGTGCTGGTACTGTATTCACCTTGGTATCTAATATAAAACCTAAAAGAAAAAAGGAATTTTAAAGTCAATATAACTTGAAAATAAAGAACACTACTGAATGTTGGTTTACATGTTACTTAAATTATATTAAAGGGACAGCTGAGTTTTGGTATAAAGGGCGCTACACAACAAAATAATCTTTTGGCGAGATAAATGAAAAACTGAGTGTCAAATTTGAAAGAGCATACAATTTTAATGACAGAATAAACTGTATTGTGAGGCCCCCCAATTATTCACAATAATTTTGAACCAGCCAGTTTCTAAAAAATTGTTGATAATCTCTCACTATTTCAATAAAACATCACATGCACAACAATGAATGAACGTGTAGCCCAGTTCTTGGTCCGTTGGTAGTAATTCAAAAGTTGTGACCACCTTTCGATTTTCGAACTCTGTAGATTTCAAATAAGAAGATGACATGGGAATATGATAATTTTTGTTATGTGTGTGTTTGGAGGCGGGGGAGGGGGTGTTAGGGAGTACACTAAGAATTTGTTACACTGAAAAACTCTTCTAAAAAATACCTTTTCCTAGTTTCTGCGAATGTTTCGCAGGCCCTCTTTCTTGATTCTTCACCGTCAACTTCCTTCACCTTCTGTTCATCGCCTCTCTCCTTCGGTGCCATCTCCGTGTCCTCCTCTTCCTGAATCATCTCCTCTACTGCCTCTCGTATCATTTTCTCCCCCTGGGTTTCCTCTACTGTGACCCCTCCGGGAGCCTTCTTCAAATTTTTTTTCACCTTTACTTGCTCTTTCAGGAGGTTGATTCGGTCTCGAACAGCTCGAGAGTCGACCTTATACCCCTTCCTTTGCATTGCTTCGGCAACCTGCTGCCATGCTTTTCCCCGCTCCGCCGTTTTATACTTAAGCCGGAAGGGGTGTGCCAGCGAGACTTCCCCAACGAGTATGTTTATACTAGTGTTGTCCCAGGTCATGCTGTGCACAGTACAAGAAATGAAAAACAAAACAAAGATTTAGATCAAATGGAATTCTGAAATCAACATAACGGGTACCAGGCCTTATATTTCAATATTTTTAGGGCAAGGCCACTTTTCTGTAGGGCACATTCCTATATTGCAGAACAAATAGGAAGAATTGGAAAGGGCACAAAAAATCTCCAAGGCCAATGAGAGGGGCATTGGCCTTGGAAGCCTTGGATTAATTCAAGCCCTGGGGTACTATATACATGTGTATAAATCTTGTAATCATGAAAAACATCATATCATAACGCATTATATTTTGGGCATTACAATTTAAGACAAAAAAGGTGGAAAACGATTGTAGAAAGGATATTGAGTTAACTCCAATTGCTGTCAATTAAAACATACTTGAATATAACGTAAAACATACATTTATATGTTTTCACCATATTGCTGCATTGTAAACCAGAATTTAAATCAGGAAGATCCATGCGTTCAAGTACGACATCTTTTTTAACCCTAGACTACTACCACGTCATATGGGAAGTTCATTCTCATATGCAGCTTCTTTTTTTATGGAACAACCTGCCAGAAAGAACGTTTCATTATTATTATCATTAAAATTATATTATTTCATTCTAGGATGCCTTCATTTATTGTGGTGATCGATGCACAGAATGGAAAACACATACCGATTTATTCATGGAGACATGTATGCTTCTCTTCGCGTAACCTTTTTTCTGCTTATGCATACGTATTATGTGCTAACATTATTATCATCATTCAAATTATTATTTCCTTCTAGTAGGCCTATAATTTAACATGATGCACGTAATGGAAAACATACCGATTTACGTTTTTCAGAAACTTTGCTTTCTTTGCCTTACTGGAAGGCTGTGAGGGCTCAAACTGTGAAGCATCACTTGCAGTGCTGGTCTCCTCTGTTTCTACGACATTGCTGCATGTCATAGCTAGCACCATTTCACCATGCTGTAACAAAAAGAAGAGAAAGTAATTTGTAACAGTATTAACATTCCGACATTGAAATTACCACAATTAGTTTAATGTCATAATTTTTAATGCAATGCATGGGGCTTAAAAAGATAATTTTGCAATGTTTCAGACAAAGCTTTTGCAGAGTTGCAGACATAATTGTGTGTGTGTGCGTTTTCTTACATTTTATTTCATTACAGTAAGGGGATCAGTCTGCTGCAGGAGCCAGGCACGGATCCACAAGGGGCAGGGGGGGGGGGGGGGCGCAGGGAAAAAAATTACTTTAAAAATTTCGGGGGCTACTTTTCAAGCTTGCTTGCATAAAAATAACACTATTTAATTTGTTTTGTATTGAACTGAGGTTAGTGAGCACTAATTTTTTGTTTTGCCCTCGAAGATTTGAAAAATCGGACCCCCCCCCCTTGAGCGCTGGGGGGGGGGGGGTCATCTCCAAAAATGGTAAAATTAACGTGTTTTTACACATTTTTTTTCCCAGGGGGAGGGGCCTGGGCCCCCCACCCATCCCTGGATCCTCCACTGCGTAAAAGAACACTATCGCCGGCTTCGCCGCAAACACTTGAAAACAGTAGGTCTACATTTTCAGTTAATTTTATTTCACTTTCAGGACACAATTTCACACAAAATGGTAGTCTACCCTAGATCTAATTTAAACTAATCCTTTTTTCTAGTCTAATAATAGTAACTAAAAACTAAATAAATATTTTGCACAATCCGAGGCGAGCACTCAGAGTCAGAGTCAGAGACGATAAACTGGCAATCTATTCTGTTACTTTTATTTCTGTTAAATTATACTGCAGCCGACAAGTGCAAAATTGAATTTTCTTTTTCTATTGTACGATTTAGAGACTCTATAGGCTTCATAGGCCATTGTTGATGGCTAGCCTCCTACTTATTGGTCGCGGGCTTAATTACGTTAGCGTGGATGTGTCTGGAAAGGACATTTTGCTGACCAAATCATACAGATACAGATGGTCGCCAGTTTCAACGAGCGCAACATTTCAATGCATGCAACATGCACTGCATGCTACGCAATACAGTACAAACGGGACTACAGTCGCACGACTAGGTACTGCCACTACGGCACTAGCACAACTTGTCTCGCGACCAAGCCACAAACGGCTTTTTATCATATTTCAACAATTCATCGTCTACTACTCTAGTTAAACTAATAATGGAAAAAAATCCTCACCGAAGAGCCGTTCGCGTTGAATTCCGTCATTCTTTCTTTTCAGTGATGTACTTTAGGGAGTTTTCGCAAGCTCAACGCGGACAAAGAATCTGCGGTTCGTGTGCAAAATCGAGACTATTACGCACGCGGAGTACGAGTACCTCACTGACGGTAGCATATATTGGCACGAGCTTTAGTGGTGTCATGAATATTCATTAGTCCCTACGTCACAGACGTGCGGCGTGCGTACTCTGTCATATATGGAACGCCATCGCCGCCATATATCGCAAGCGAGCTTGCGTTACTGGTTAGTAGCTTACGGTAGTTAGTTGTAGTGCTTGCGTTAGTTGATCGGCCAATTACTGTGCAGGATTATCGTTTACGTACACAAAACGGGAAATACAGTACCGCATGTTAAACATGTGTACGTATATTTAACTCTGGCGAATCAGAGCACTTGTTATAGCGGGCCGTCGGGTAGCCTTTTCGGCCGTGTCGCGAATTTTGTTATGCAAAGGTACACGATCGAGGCGAGTATGTGTCAGTGTTACAGTATAGTTCGTACTATTTAGTCCTTATAAGACTGGTCTGTATCTTTCAATCATACTTTATCACTTCTCAAATGGGAAAATTCTGGCATTTTACTCTCTGAAAAGTTTACAGTTTGAACACCAAAAAAGGGAAACAGATGTGGCGCGGGACGGAGCTAGAATTGTATGGGGCATCTTAGATAGCCCGACTTGGCCTGTCAATTCATTATATATATTTTTTAATACGTCTTGTCGCAAGCAAGGAGGGGGTGGGGGAGGGGCTCAGGCTGTTTTGCAATTTAGGGCGTGGGCTGAAAGGGAACTAAAAGGAATTGATTGGGAGTAGGTCTATTTTTAATATTTTTTGTTTTATTTAGGCCTTTTTGTTAAATATTTTATTCCTAGGCAAGATATAAAACAGACATTGAGAAATGATTGATTGAAGATATTACGTAGAATCAAAGTACAATATGAAGGAAAAATGAAGAGTAAACCAGCCAATGCATGAGGATGGCCAAATAATTCTTGAATTCTGTCAAGATGTTATCTGTGTCGGCTGGTGCACGCAAATTGAACAAATCTAGTACATAAGGGAATAACAATAATAATGATTATTTACATCCAGAAGCCTTATACTTTTATACTGAAAAAGAAGAAAAGAAAAGATAATTTTCATTTATATAACAGTTCTTATCAAGTATATAAAGCTACATAAGGAGATCGAATTTCAGTGTGTGAGTATAATCTTGTGTGTGAGAAAATGAGCTAAAAATGGAGTTTAAATGGATACTTGGGTTTTAGTATAAAAGGCGCTACAGATTTTATTTTTTTTGTGAGATAATAAAACATACTTGATACTAGCTTTGGAATTCAAACATTTTAATCCTTTATTTTGTAACGTTGCTTGACAAGAACAGATTATCGTTTACCAACTAATTGCAAATGAGCCCTTGACATTTGAATCCTTTATTGAGATGCTTGGAAACTTTATCATTATATCGCATCACATCCAATGGGAAATTGTTTATAAAATGTCTTTTCTTAATCTTTAATTCAACTGATATTCTATTTCATATAATTAATTGTAAAATAGGAGAAATTATACTTAGAATGTTTTTGCCCTAAATTATGTTGAGCCGCAGATCTCTGCAGATGAGCACATGGAATGCACACGAACCAAGCGTAGGCCAGGCGCGGATCCAGGGGAAAGATGGGGCCCAGGGGGCCTTCCCCCCAAAAAAATATATTTAAAAAAAATAATTTAAATTAAAAAAAAAAAAGGAGAGAGGGGGAGAAGGAAAAGAAGTGAAAGGGAAAGAAGAGAGAAAGGGAAAGAAAGAAGAGGAAGAAGAAAAGAAAAGTGGAAAAGAAGGAGATCGGGGGGGGGGCGAAAGGACCTTGCCCATGCTGTTGCCTCCCACCCCCCCCCCCCCCCCCCCCCTCCGCAGCAAAAACAGAGAGCAGGAAAGAAAGAGAAAGAACAAAAAAAGGAAAAGAGGAGATAAAGGGAAGGAAAAAAGAGGAAGAAGAAAAAAAGAAGGGGGATATCGCCGACCGGTCGTGGATCGGGGGGGGGGGGCAAAATGCCCTTGCCTCCCACCCCCCCCCCCCCCACCTCAGCAAAAGGAAGAAAGAGAGAGAGAGAGAGAGAAAGAATGGATAGGAAGGGAAGGGGAAGGAGGAAAGAGAGTGAAAGAAAATAAAAAGGAAGAAGACAAGAAAAGGGGGAAAAGAAGGGAAAATAAGTTACGATTTGTATCGCTTCTTCTTTCGTCATTGAGACCAAGCGCCAAATACGCACCTGATCAACCCTGGCGTACTGCGGGGAGGGGGGGGGGGGGGCTTGGGGCATTTGACCCCAACAAAATCCCCCAACGTGGTTTATTTCTAAATCAATACCAGGGGTTTACAACTTTTGCTCAAATGACATAATTTTTCGGGATTTTTCCTCGCTTTTTAGTTCACTAAATTTTTGTATGCATTTGTTGGAAAATGACAAATTCAAAAATTTACAGTCAGGCAAGAAATATGCTTATTAAGAGGCCAATATGCCAGGCTCAGGGGGCTTGACCTCTCTCCCCCACTTTGTTTAAAAAGTATATTAAAGAGAAATAGAAAGAAAGATAGAAAGAAAGAAAAAAGATTGACCTGCATGTGTCACAAATAAAGTATCAAAATATTATGGTCAGCTGACCGTAATAAAATGCCTAAAAACCCCTGGTCCCCACCCAGGGCTCTAAGGCGGGCCTCTGGATGCTCATCAGACGGTAATTTAATCCCTTAAACTCCTGAGCTTCTGAGCTGCGTCCCCTGGACCTCACGCCAATTAGTGACCTGTCAGTGTCATGAATAAGGTATCGAAATATGCTCATCTGACCGTAATTAAATGCCCATACCCCTAAGCTTCCGGGAGTTCCACCCCTTATTCCCCACCCCCCAGTTTTTGAAGTACCCCAAAATTGCCCCTTCCTTCAGGAAAAGTGTCCCTTACCGTTGTAAGAAGTGCCCCTTTTTACATAGGAAAAGTACCCCTTTTAATTTGATAAGTGCCACTATTACTTTAAAAAGTGCACCTTCCCCTTTCCGACTCTGATAAGTACCCCTTTTATTTTGACACGTACCAATTTTCCTTCGACAAGTTCCCATGTTCCTTTGCAATAAGTTTCCATTTTTCATTCTCACAAGTGCCCTTTTTAATCTCTAGTAAGTGCCCCTTTTTTACTTTTGATAAGCGCCTCTTCACCTCTGATAATTACCCTATTCAAATCTGAGAGGTGCCCCTTTTTCTTTGACAAGTGCCCCTTTTGCCTTGTAAGAAGTGCCCCTTCCCAGTTTAATAACTAACCCTTTTTAACTCGGATAAGCGCACCTTATATTTTCCCATGCGCCCCCTTTCCTTTCTAATAAGTGCCCCTTTTTCTTATGATAAGTGCCCCCATTAAAAATATCCCCTTCCACTTCTCATAAATGCCCTTTTTCATCTCTTGTAAATGACCCTATATAATTCTGAGAGAAAATCGTTTTACTTTGACAAGTGCCCCTTCCTCTCCTGATAAATGCTCTTTTCATCTCTAATAAATTCCCCTTTTATTTGACACGTCCCCCTTTCCTCCCCAATAAATGCTCATTTTCCTTCTTATAAGTGCCCCTTCCTCTTCTCATAATTACCCCCTTTTCATCTCTGACAAGTGCCCCGTTTATTTTAAGATGTGCCTCTTTTTCTTTTTAATGGGAGCCACTTCCCCCTTCTCACTTGTTATAAATGCTCCTTTAAAATCTGATGAGTGCCTTTTTTCCGTCGACAAATGCCCCTTTCCCATTGTCATAAGTGCCCTTTTCATGCCTGGTTAGTGCCTCTTTTTTTAGGTGTAAGAAGTGCCCCATGTTCACCTCTGTTAATTAGCCTTTGCACTTTGACACGTGCTCCTTTTCTTTTCTAATAAGTGTCTTATCCCTTTCGATAAGTGTTCCCTTTTCCTCTCATAAGTGACTAAGAAAAATTTCACCCAAAGCACGCTCGCTACGCTCGCTCGCATGTAGTGTTACTAATCAAAGGTCTTTTCAGTCTTCCGTTATGAGAATGTGCTTATAACCCCATCAGGATATTTTGGGTTTTTCCTCTTTATAAGATGTAATTTTTCGCACTGCGACCTCACAAATCTTAAAATTTTTCCTCGCTCGCAAATGAATTTTCAGACCATCACACCCAACTGCAAAGTATGATGCTTAAGCTACATCTTATATGATGTATAATGAGAAACAAATATTGAAATCATCCCTGATAATGTAATCATATATGGGTATATACCAATATCTAAAAACTTGTCTATTTTTGCTTTAAAATTCTTTTTGAAAGTGCCTTTTTTTCTCCCGAAAGTGACCTTTTTTGTTGGTGCCCCCCCCCCCCCACTTTGGAAGTCGCTCCGCCGCCTCTGTGACTGTGTACATGTCACGTGTGTTAATGCTCCAACACTCAAGAGCGGTCGAAGATTCCATAAATTAATACATTTAGTAGTTGCATATTTTCATAGGCTGTTAAGTAGAACATTGAACACGATGACGATAGTCAAGACTCAAGACGAGGTCAGAGACAAGCGCAAGGACACGGATAAAGACACGGAGAAATTAGCTCCCGTCCTTCTCTCTCTCTCTCTCTCCCTCTCTCTCTCTCTCTGTACAATTTATAATATTAACATTCCTTTCTTTTTTACGAAATTTACATACGGGTGTCAACTTGAAGGGGGAGGGGGTGGGGATTATCAGGGAATAAGGTTGGGGGCACACCCCTTTGCATGCTAAGCGATGATGTCGAAATTAAAAATAAATAACAAGTGGGAGAGGAGGGGGTGAAATATATTTCCTAGCAACGGCGCACTAAATAATGTAATGGGAAGGGGTAAATGCATCAATTTTGAGGACAGCTTAAAATTATTAAAATAGAATATGAACATGTATATAAATATTTTTTTTCCAATTAAAATGTATAGACCAGTTTGAGAAACACCCCTCTCAAATAATGAAATTGAAGCTCTTTACCAATCATGACTGTGAAAGAATATGTTTTTGACTAAATACGTGACGATACAAATTTTGCGGGGAAACCGCCTACTAATTGATATAT